TATCAAGATTAGTCGCCTTGCGTACGCGATACGTAATCGTAGCGAAGTCGCAAGCCTTTGGCGGCAACTTTGGCGGCAAAAATATCACCTTTGATTTTCGCCGCCAGCATTTGATTTTATACATGGTGATGTGGATTAGTGGTTAACGTTAGACTCGTTTCGGAGGTCGTGGATTCGATTCTCATAGTTGACTGGCTCTATGGGGTAGTTGTTAGAGTGTTAGGTTTTCTTTGCGGATGTCGTAGATTTGATTCCCATAGTCGACTGCCTCCATAGTCTAGTGGTTAGAGCGTTAGGCTTTCTTTTCGGAAGTCGTGGATTTGATTCCCATAGTCGACTGCCTCTATGGTGTAGTGGTTAGAGTGTTAGGCTTTCGTTTCGGCGGTTGTGGATTTGATTCCCATAGTCGACTGCCTCCATGGTGTAGTGGTTAGTGTTAGGCTTTGTTTTCGGAGGTCGTGGATTTGATTCCTATAGTCGACTGCCTCCATGGTGTAGTGGTTAGAGTGTTAGGCTTTCGTTTCGGAGGTCGTGGATTTGATTCCTATAGTCGACTGCCTCCATGGTGTAGTGGTTAGTGTGTTAGGCTTTCGTTTCGGACGTCGTGAGTTTCCGATGGGTGACTGCCTCCTTAGTGCAGTATATCCGTAATCACTCAGTCAGTTCTTGCATTATGTGGAAGTGGTACGGGTGATGGTCAGAGCTTGTTTACAAACAAAGGCGTATGCAGTGCAACGTTGAAGGTCGTAGACGTAGGATATAGGTATTCGTTTAATGTGTATGTAATGATGTAATTTGTATCAGGAGAAGGGTCTTATTTCAAAAGGATGGTAATAATTTTAATTTCACCCTGTAGGTACATTATGAAAACGTTACCCTATATTCCAAAATTTGCGATTCAGTCGGCGTCCTTTGATGTCCCGCCGCTGAGGCAGAGGTGCTATTTTTTAATTTTTTGTAACAGTCTGTAATTGCCGTTTGCGTTGTGAGGACTAAATAGGTGTCATCGTTTTGTTTGTGTCTTGTTTTTGTGTTTATTTAAACTATGTCACGCTTAAGCAATAGTGATTACTAAGAGATGATGTTGTGCGTAGGCGCAGCCGATGGGAGCTTGCGCCAGCCTCGCCAAATTTATTGGGCAAAGTTTATTGATGGCGTCCCAGAAAATCGACGTCGACCATTTCCTGCTGTGGAATGCTTCAGGAAGATGGTTATGAGACTTCATAATAGTGGATCGTTCCGTGGTTCCAGTTCTGAAGGCCGGCCGAGTTCACGAGACCCAGAATTCGAGGCAGATGTTTTGGAACATTTTCTCGGCAATCCAAAGACAAGTACTCGTCGTGCTGCGGCAGTCTTTGGTGGTGTGAACCATATGAGTGTGTGGCGTGTGCTACGGGATGATGGCCAGCACCCATACCATTTTCAAAGAACGCAGGAGCTGTTACAAGCGGACTATGATCTACGTTTGGCATTTTGCCGCTGGTACCGCGACCAGGTTGGGAGGTCTCCCGACTTCGCTTCGTCGGTACTGTGGACAGACGAGGCGTCATTTACGCGTGCGGGCATTATCAATATGCATAATGAACATTTTTGGACTCATTTGAATCCCCGCGTATCAAGGGAATCAAATTTTCAACACCAGTGGCGGATTAACGTGTGGGCTGGTATAATAGGTTGTGCCGTCATCGGTCCAGTGTTTTTGCCGGCAAGTCTGAATGGGGCCAATTATTTAAGATTCCTAACAGAAGACTTGGGTGACGTTCTGATGGCCCTGCCAGTGACACAATACGTGAGACTCGTGATGGAACATGGGATGACTTTCTAGCACGATGGAGCACCCGCACATTTTGCTCGAAATGTACGTTCCCATCTGAACGACCGTCTCCCGCAGTGGATTGGGCGGGGAGGTCCTGTACCCTGGCCAGCGTGGTCCCCAGACTTGACACCGCTCGATTTTTTTTGTGGGGTCATATAAAAATATTGTTTATGCGGAGTCCTGTGAAAGCGCAGAAGAAATGAGGCAGCGGATCGAAATGGCGTTTAGTCAAATCACTCGGCAGATGCTTCAAAGAGTAGAGCAGTCTCTGTACCGACGCACGGAAATATGCATATTGCATGGAGGTCGGCATTTTGAACCTTACCTGTAAATGTGTGAAATGTGCCAGCAGTGCGTGTAGTGATTGTACTTATTATTCAAAATTATCGTAAACAAGTCAATATTTCGTACATTGTACAACAGTGAATTACAATTCGTAGGAAATTCATTAAAACGTGTATGAATTGCACAGTAGGTAAGTACCAATTAAAAAAGTATCCACTATTGTAAAATTGTCGTAAATAAATGTATTAATACAAAATTATGTAGAATGTGTATACGATGAAGGCGTGCGTAACTACGGGCTTAATAAGTAAATAAATATCCTTTAAATTGTATGTAAATAAGTACGTACCTAGGTATGGTATAAAATAATATTGTTAGAAATAATTCGATTTTTCTAGGTATTTAAAGATTTTGTTACTTAATATTAACGTGTTATCAACATATTCAAATCATGTTTTTACAGTGGCATTTCAATTGTAGTCAGCTGTTCTTTCGCCGCTCCGCCCAGGTTTCATTAATGAATTTGTGAAGTCGTAGTAACGTAACTAGCAATAGAGTTGTGACGCAGTGGTTGTTTCGGACAATCACTATTTATACAAACATAATTAAAGTTATATCAACATTAAAAGTCACTTATTTTTATTTGATATTTTGCACAGAGGGTCTAGATCAAGTATAGGTTTGGCTCCTTTAATATGACTACACCTTGCGGTTACACCCTGTATAAGTACATACATGTCTATTCTGGGCCATTTAGATGGAGGGTGTTTATCGCACGCTTCGTGACGAGAAATCGAAGAAGAATCGAATAAGATTAACATTAATGTTTACATACAGGCTTTTAGAGCATACAGGCAAGAACCAAAATCTCGCCTAAGATTATGTCATGTGAGATTTGCAGGTACCTCGAAATATGTGTGTATAAGAGATTATTGCGACTGTCGCCCACGTGACGTGGAAGGGCAAAAATCGCGAATGTACCATGTATAAACTTTTTTAAATTAGTGTCTTGTATCGTTTAATCGTATATTGAAGACAAGAAACTCTCTCCGTGTAAATGGGTCTTTAAGTCGAAAGGTCGGTCATGTGACGAGTACTTACATTCACAGTATATTTGTTTAAGTATAGCCAGTGTTGGGCGTTAATTAATTAAATTTCAATCAGAAATTCAATCAGATTAAAAAATCAATTCAATTGAAATCAATTGCAATTATGATTTTAATTGCAATTGATTTCAATTGTATTGATTTTAATTGCAATTGATTTCAATTG